GAGACCTTGTGAAGCTAAATTCACTAGTGTCAGAAAATCATTGTTTCCCTCTAAGTAAATATGAATTATTCTTAATTTATAAAATACTTCAAAAATATATTCAGTCTATCCCCTAAAATTGTAATCAGAAACACAACAGTAATCTAGAGCATCCTTCTGTGACATAAAGTCTAGAAGACTTATTCCACATTGTGGGTGCTTTACTTATTTAGATAAGCATTCTGCAGAACGTGTGTGTTCCCAGGATTTGGTGTTCACCCCAGGTAGTAATGGCTTTTTCCTGTCTTGATTATACTTTATTTCTTACCCCAGGCATAATAATCTTCTCTATATCTCCAAGGATGTTGTCCCAGCTGTCTGGGTCCATTGGGGCAGAATCCGGCAACTGGGCTCTCATGTAACCTGGCTGCACATCAGGAGTCACCCGTCTGTCTCTCACATTGCTCAGGTACTGGCAAATGTATTCTTTCCCTGGAAGAGGCAAACCAGTGCTTTGAGTTTCAATTGCAGGAAAACTAACTAGTAGTACTAGCACTTCATGCAATCTGTCGTTAGCATTGGACAGGGCTTGGAATACTGCTCCCAGGATAGCCACAGGAACTAACCTTCCTCCTACACCCTACTTGTCCCATCTAATAATGTAGGGACACAGCTTCTAGAACAGGCTTCATGGGGACAGAACAGATTCAGAGGCTTATTTCAGTGTCACTGAATAGTTCAAACGTACCTTTAAAACACAATCACGGTAAAAGTACAGCTTGTTTGCATTCTGAGAGGATAAACAGCTTTTCTTGCCTACAAATTAACTGAAACTGCATTTCACAGAGATTAAGTTTTCATAATGCCCCATGCTTTCCTGTCACTATAGCATACCCCCTTCTGCATCCTCTGAAAACAGCTGCACAGCTCCATACCTTTTCTCCACTTTTTAGGAAATCTCCTCCAGCCCTGGGACCAAAGTTTGCTCCCCATCTCCAGAACTGTGCCAGTACCACTGAAGTTTCATGGTGTCAGCCAGGGAAGAGCCATTGTGCTTAACAGCTCAGCAGAAATTTATTCAGAATCACAGTTTTGCAGCTTTCCCACAGTATTTTAAATGTAAGACCAAAAAGCCTAAGTCATCCACTGACTCTAAATCCACCAATTTAAACTCAACCCTGGGACACATGTTTGTCTCAGCCTCAGCAGACCTAAGTCTCGAGGACATGTGTGCAAATAAGGAGTATACAGCCCATCCTAACTTTGGGTACCACGACCAGCCCTGCAACAGTTAACCTCCGTAAGCAAATGCTGCCTGCTTGCAAGAGCAGAGGATCACTCACCTCTCCGTCTGTACTCCTCAGGCTCCATACTGACTCCTTCTAAAAGCACCCCTTCCAACCTGGGCAACAACCCTTCAGGAGCTGTGGGCAGTTTGGTCTGGTGCCCCGCTAGCTGCTTCACCCTTTATAGCTCCCTTTATCTCTCAGACTCACGCATTGTGGAAAAGGTTTAACGTAGGCAGGTTATTGGTGAGTGTTTATCTAACTCCTCCCCACTGAGGGCTCTTACGGTCTCTTGTATGTTCTCATCTGTGCTCTTTTGATGTGTAAGATAGTAAATCTCTAAGAGGAGCTGCCTCTGTGCTATCCCTTTCCCATTTTCAAGCAATCTTTCAGAAGTCTCACAGTAATCCATGCCCTGAATGTAAGACGCATTAACATCAGACTTGTGGGAGAGAAAAAGCTGTAGAGCTTCCAAAACCAAATAAAAGCAGCCATGTTACTCTAGCACATCGAACTACTGTGCTAGCAGTAGTCATTAAAACAAGGCACCAGCACATAATAAACTTGCTATCACAGGAAGGGACTTTTTTTCTTTTTTTTTTTTTTTTTTTAAAGAATCGTAGGACTGTTTTCCCAAGAAGGGAGTACAGCCACAGGTCTTCAGGCCCTATGCTGTCAGTCCCTTGCTGCCTGAAGGAAAGGCATTACAATTATTGCCAGTTTCAGAACTGCAATACAAAGCCGCAATGATCCTCTTTGTGGATATCCTGTCCTTCCAGATCAGACCAGGTTACGCTGCAGGGCAATGTTCTTCCATCGATATCATCCTAGACTGCTGAGCTGGGAAAAATCTATCTTTTCTTCCCCACACCGTGCTTGCTTTTCTCACGTATGATATGCATAAGCACTGGGATTTGGCCTTGCATCTCCAGAATTCCTCCAAGTCCCCTGCCTGGATTGTCCTCACTTTGGAAGACAGCCATGTAGATTTCCCCTTGTTCCAGTTTTAGAACTTGAAAACACATTCTGACCTATCCTGGCAGGACGACCTGTGACACTGTACTCAATATTGAGCGCTTAGCAGCTTCCCCAGAAGGAACTCACTTGCTCTACACTGATACCAGTCAGCCCTGGGAAAAGAGAGGTAGGACTCAGGGACTAAGCATCAGAAAGATAAATGATTACACAGTAAAATATATGCTCGCCCTGGTTTTGCTGTAGCCTAGGCTCCTGCTTAGGGCTGGCCCTGTTGGAGACAGGATACCAGGCTATGCAGACCCCTCGTCCGACACACGACAGCAGTGTCTCTGTTCTCATCCTACAGAAGAGAACTGGCTGTCAGAGCAGCTTCGGTTTTCTGCCTCACGTACCATTACGCAGCCTAAATGCTTTCATTATTCTAGAAAGTTGCTGCGTCTTTCTCCACAGTGTACTTTCTACTGAACAATGTGAAAACCTTTCCTAGCTTCTGCTGCGATTAGATATTTGAGAAAGAATTGTTTCATAGATATGGCAGATGCTCTGATACACGCACATCAGATTAATATACTGAACTAAAAAAAAAAAAAAAATTGGTAAAAAAGGCATTGAAAGTGCAAGAAGTGCAGAAAAAAAACCCCATACTATATGCATGTGGCATTTCTCTGGAAGCATTAGGAAAAAAATAACAAGCTGCTCACACACTTAATATCAATTTATGAACCCCTCTCAGCTTTACTGTAAATGCTACCATAAAGGGGAACAAAGAAAGTGAGAAGGAGCTGGCATCAAGCACAGGACCAACTCAAAAAGAGGTCAGAGTTCTCAAAAACTGTGATTCTAGCTCATGACAAGTAACTAATACATTATTTTAATACACGGATGTCCGTTCAAGGAAAGCTGGTAGCTAATTACATTTATGATTTCAATTTGGAACAGCAAATAAGGAGCAATACTTTTAACAATGTTTTCAGAGCTAAACTACACAATAAATATTCCATGTGACATACACCCTACGCCTTTGCTCAAAGGTGACAGTTTCAACAGGCTGGTTTCTCGTTCTGAGCAGAAGAGAACAAACAGCAGGTCCTGTTCAGAACTGGAATAAAATAGGTGATAATGAATTACAGGTAGGGTAAATATTGCCAGTGATAAATAAATTTTTGTTATAGCTATCCTGCACTTGGAAGGATTTTGTTACAGACGACGAGGAACAGAATATTTGCTCACAGGAAGCAGAATGAATAGAAAAGGTTCTTTTCATTGTTTGCTACAAAGGTCTGTGCCGTCAAAACCGTGGGAAATTCTCCATTTGGACGTGAACATGACCACTATCACTACTCAGACTAATGCTGAAATTCTTATCGTTATTAAGAGTTCAGAGAGATTAAACCGTAGTTAAGTTTGTGGGATGTGAGGACACAAACAGTATTTTGATCACAGAATGATTCAATTGGAGCAATGCCTAACCAGCACATTCAACCTGACTAATTGGGTCCTGCATTTGCTAGTGACATAATAGATAAGATTCTGAAAAAAACCCCAAAATACAGCAATTTCCAGTTGCTGAGCATGACTATAGTCTTGAAAATAATCCTTCTAAAAACCACCAGACTTTCCATTTTTTATTATCTTTTTATTATTTTGGGGACAAATTTGCCAAATTTATACCAATACTAGGACGTTTAGGTTTTTTCCCCTAACTGCCAATTCTAAAAACCCAAGTCGAAGTTTGAAGAAGGAAGATTTTACTTCATATTGTAGAATGCAATTCTTTCCCCACTCCTCCCCTCCTACCTTTGAAGGCCATTCTAAGCCTAAAACTGTTTTTTCGTATTTTTCTGAGTGCCTAACACAACACAGCTTTGACCTTCTAACGCACACACAAAACAACTGAAATGGAATTGATTCTACAGTAGAAATATGTGGAAAAGATATTTAATTGTAAAATAGAAAAAGTAGGCCAGAGTACAGTTTTAAGGGTAATTCCTCTGTGTACAGTATAGGTAAACTAGACTTTTTGCTTAAGTTTATATAAACAATTCCATAAAAGCAGTGAAACATGGAACAACAAAGCAAAGCACAAAGTTTTATCTTACAAAAAAGGAATCTGCACAGTAGTTCAGAATTTAATGTAACACAGCACTGAACAATCTTAAGGCAGCTCAGTCTAAGCCAGGACTAGAAGCCAGGAACTCCTGAGATCTATTCCCAGGGATTCAAGGCCAGTCATTTAACACTCCCTGTGTTGCACTTATACCAGTTATAAAATTGAGACAATAACACTCACTTACCTGCCTCAGGCAGTACAGGTAGGGTTCTTTAAAAGATTTTACAATGCTCTGAAGATGTAACGTGCTATATAAATCCTAAGCATAATAGATCACTGCACAGACACACACAAACACAGTATCACAGTGAAGAACAATGATGCTAGGTCAGAAGAGCATCACTACAACATAAAAAAAAATTACTTGTCTAATTGCATAATCAAAATGCAAAAGTCTGTTTAGAAAAAAATGTATCACTGAAATAATTTCAAGGCTACTGAGGAAGAGAGATCAATAGGAATATTCTAAAAGAACTGCTATTTGTGTTTTGTGGAGACATTCTTTTCTATTCATTACTGAACTTTAAAATGTTTGTACAGAAAAACTGTAAGACACACAAGTGAAGTTTCAATGCCTCCACTACCAAATTTTAAATCACCCCTAATATGTAAATTAAGATTTTTTTTTTTGTTCTTTTTAATTACAAATTACATTCTTCCATCCACAATAAAACTGGCTGCTAGCTTACCTCAAATGACCTATAGGCTAAACATTTTTCTCATAATTTTTCTCATCTTTGCTGAAAAATACCTATGCAAGATGTATGTGTAGAAATTATAAAAACATGCAGCATATGTACAAAATGAAAAGTTTAAAAAATATTAGCTTCATATACATGTAAATCTACTTGGATATATCTGAAATTAAATATAAAAATTTCACCACCTAAAATAAAAATAAAACCAAAAATGGTTTTCAGTGAATCTGAGACAACTACTTAAAGCTGTACAAAGATTTCCACCTGGAAATGTCTTAATTCAGAGAAGTTTAAGTTGTTACTATGTAGAAATAATTGTTAATTCATTTTGTCACATAATTCATTTTCGAGTTGTCAGCTTAAATCAACAACATCACCCTTAAAACTGTTCTGTTTTTCAGAAGTTAGATTCATACTAAAATCAAAAATTTCACAAAAACATTGGCTTTTTGTGTTTCTGGATCCCTTCAAAAAGGTTTATCAACTCATTTTGAAACTGTAAAAAAAACAACTATTTACAGTATTTCATTTTAAATACTTTTCACAATTTCTAAATTCAGAGTTTTTATGTTACAAGAAATTAGTCAGAGCTCACGGCTTAAGTCCAGTTATCAACTTGTAGCATCTTCTCTATCATGTAATCCTGTGTCTGTACCTATATAGCGTACAGTTCAAGATTGTACTGCGGGTTTTTGAAAGTAACAGGCTTTGCAGTATGTTCATTTTTTATTAAACAGCTTCTTTATTAGTCTGGAGGCGGTTCATTGCCTCTAACTTCTGCCGATAGGCCTCTGCTTCTTGTTCTTTCTTTAGAAGCTGCTGACGATATTTTTGTGCTTCTCTGTTTGCCTCATCCAGCTGTTTCTGAAGAGTTTCTCTTTCCTATTAGAAACAGAACCAGCAATATTTTGTCAAATATTTGTCAAGTTAAAATGGCAAATACTTCTCCTTTACATGCAGCTCATGTATTAGGGTATCATGTTCAGTTCTTACTTGGGCAAACTTATATGCTGTAGTGTAAATTAGGCATGAACTATCACAGTAAATACAGTAAACCCAGGTTTCTTCAGCTGCAAAGATACCAAGCAAGTCTTCACAGAAAAAGAGCGAAATAAAAAAGTGGAAGCATGGTGATCAAATATCTAACATACTATATTAACATCTATCCAATGATTCAATTCCCTTTGTTATTTTTTAAAATCGGAATCCAGTCTAACAGGACTGTCCCTTTCTGTTATATTTCTAATCAGACAGTATAATGAAAAACTGTTACTTAATAGCAGCTTGCACTGGAAAGTGACAGCTGCCCACTAACCAAAATACAAACATAACTGCTTTCTAAATGAAGTGATTGATACTCTGCAATCCAGAGGTGTAATTACATCCCCAAGCACACCACTTCTTTATGAATTAACAAGCATTTAGCTAGACAAGCTTTTTCAATTCTAAAGTAGTAACTTATTAAGGCTCCATTCTGCATACAGGATTGTTGTGGATGGCTACAAAACAGTTTCTAAGTAAAATAATATGGGAAATGCCAGCTCTTACGAAGCTGCCTTAGGAACTAAGGAGAATGTATTTCTGTTTCCAGTGACATAGGTGCTGTCATTTTGTTTGATGCTGCACTGAGCCAAATTGAAAAAGCAATTTGCTTGGAAAATAGTTTTGATCTTCAACCAAATACCATTTCATTAAAATGCATCATACTTTTATGAGTAAGGCAGCATTTGATTTCAAACCATTCTTTCCACTGCAGTTAAGTAACCACAGGAGGGAAGTTGTCAGAGAAGTGAGCTATCTCCCAGAAAAACAAACTCTTATCAAAAAACTGAGGCCCAGTGAAAATAAGTGGCCTTTTCAGCTTACTCCCGCCCCAGCAGTTCGGTATCACATTCCCATTTAATACCTCAAAGACTTGTTAGAAGTTTCTCCCCCCACATCCCCATAACAGCATCCCTATTCTTCACCTCTTTGATGCACTCACATATTTTCATGGTCAGAGCCTGAAAATAGAAAATACTCTGCCTCCCTTATACTTGCTACTGTTCTCAGTACTTGTCACAGTCACATTTAATAGTCACATGCTGTGCTGAATGTGCTGGAATATAATGACATAGGTGATCAGATCATTGCTAACAGCAGCATCTGTATAGCAAAAACAACAGGTGAAGGAGAGATGTTATTAACAGGTTATAAAGACTGGCTACAATACAGAACAGAAAAACTCCATTAAGTGCAACCTGATTTTACACAGGGCTTTAAGAGCTGAAGGAAGCTAGCTAGGGTTCACTTCATTTGGAGCATATGCTAATAAAGTGAGAGCTCATCTCATCTCACTCACTTATTTGAAAAGGAAGCTCAGCGTCCACCTCTGAAAATCTGGATTCTGCTTTTTAAGCAACTTTACGAATGGCCAACCCATGTAGCAACCAGACTGACGAAGGCCAAATGAACGGTAGAGCCTACAACCCAAAGGATCCGGAATGCACCAGTGATGTTCCAGCACCAGTCCAACTAAAACATGCTATTTCTGTAAGTCATCTACATAGTATAAGGGGAGCCAACAGCTTACGTAAAACAGCCTCCTGGGGTAGAAAGTTGGTGAGAAGAGCTACCAGACAATTCTCAGGGAAGCAGTCAAAGCAGTTGATCTTGCTACATGTGGAAAGCAAGAGTTCCCTCTTGAGGGCAGTGAGCTCTGGGATATACCGAGCTGGGCATTATCTATCTCATGAATTTGTCAAAATAAAACCATCAGAAATGTAACACTGGCAACAAGCAAAGCTGCTCTATCTACTGGGCTGCAGAAGAGTAAGACCCACCAGTAGCTCACTGGCCAGTGGTTCCATGGTGCATTACAAAAAGCAAGGCACTATCACTACTATGGAGTGTGTGTCAACTGCAAACATTTGGGGGTGGAGAAGGTCCTCAGATCCCATCTTAAGGCTCTTTCCCACAGAAAACAAAAATAGGTCATGCACCCATAACGGATATAGCACATCAACAGAGGGACAGAAAAAAAAAGGAAAAAACCCAAACCTAGTCTCAGTGTCAGAGACAAGATAAAATCAGTATCTACCAGACAGACTAGCAATTCAGAGCATGGAGATTAGTCCAGCAACTAATAGGTGTAGTTTTTAGACAGTCATAGTCCTAACATAAACAGAATGAGTCAAGGAACTGAGGCCAAGTATACCGTCTAACTAAGCAGTGGAAAGAAACCATGCTTCTGGAGAAGCAAGGCAGATCTACAGCAGACATGTGAAACAGTGAAAATTGGTTCCTTAACTTTGACATCTAAAATAGGGAGGACTATATCTGATCTATTACTTTAATCAAATCTAGAAAGTGTTCTAAGGGCATTCTCTAGAACACACCTGCAAGTGTTCTAATTATCTGAAGTTCTACCAGTATAAAAACCTCCCCAGGTAAAAATCAAATTAGAGGATCCTGTGTGCTCTTAAGAAACCTTCCATTTTATTGGGGAATTTTCTTCATCACACGTAACTTTTCTTAATAGTCTATATATTAACAATGGGGACATCCATGACTAAAATGACCAAACCAAGCATTCTCTTTAACAACAGGAAAAACAGGGATATGAATTTACTAATATAATTAATTTACAATTTTTTAATTTTTTTTTTTTTTTTTTTTAGTCTAATGCAATGACTGTCATGGTTCTGATGAGTGTCACCTTTCAAACATGCAACATGGCAAAACCAGTCAAATTCAAGAATGAAAATTAAAATCACTGTATGATAATGAATTATGCATGAAAATGAAAAACAGAGTATCTGTGTGACAGGGGTTTTTTTGCTGCCATCCAACATTTAACATATCAAACTGCTTAGGAAAACAGCTATCACTCTTCAAAATGAACTGAAGTGTTTGAACTTATCAGCTGCTTAGGAAAACAGCTATCACTCTTCAAAACTTCACTGAAGTGAAGAACCCAGAAGAGAAAAATCAAAAACCAGCACTACAAGCTTTAGTTATTCACAACACTTTCATGGGAAAGTCTGTCACCTCATGTGAATGGGAGTATGTTCAAATTAAAGACTTTCAAACTACAGTTAACTGTTCATAGACTAAAAATTTAAAATAGCTGAAGAAAGCACTCTTAGCCATGAATCAACTCTTTATAATGAAGTAAAGGAATAAATCACCAGTGAGGCAAAGAAACCAAACAATTAAGGTTTTCTACATTAAAAAAATATTTTACTGCGGGGAGGGGTCCCACTCCTTCCAAATTCAAGTATCTACCACCTTCTACGGTGCTGAAGTTTAAAGTGAACTGGCTTTATGTGCACTTCTTTAATGTCCCTGTTACCCAAGTGAGATAGCGCCATACCCCTGTGAACCGCAACAAGGCTCCTGAAGTCAACTGGCCTCCACGCAGAGGCAGAGGTCTGCATGTGCATTTCCAGTTGTACAGGCAGGGGCAACATCAGCCATCAAAACTTGCACTTAAAAGTAACAGATAAAGTAACTCATTTAAACCAACTTATTTTGATAGTTGAGAAACGTGTTTAAAATATATAATTGAAACTGCTCATTCCCTTAAAAGAATTATTTAACTGTTATACCAGCTACCTGTAATTGGCAACAGGTCAATTTATTCCTTAATCTAGGTACTTTTTTTCCTTCATCTAACAGAACTATAAAATACTTAAGGAAACATAATTTCCTTTACGAATAATTGAGGCAGATGTTTAAAAGAGTGAACAAAATAAATGCTTTTATTGTAACAGTCATACATTTTAAAAAATGCAGCAAGAAAACTTTAACTGTCATGATAAACTGTAACGACCACAAAGCTGCCAAGGCCAAAAGTATTTGATGTGACAACACAGGGACAGGATAAGCAAGTGATGAAAGGTGGTAATTATTGTTATTAGACATGGATAACATATAGCACATACTGTACAATAAAAAGTATTCAATTAGGCACAATTCGATAATATGAACAGAAGTTGGAGAACACAACCTTTGATAAACGAAATATCATGGAGTTGACAAAATGAGAACTTACAGCCTAGTCAAGGCAGACAGCAATTTTCAAACACTTTTGACCAAAACTGGTCAGCACAGTTAGAAGTAACAGAAGAAGAAATGAGATGGTTGACCTATTGTGGCTAATATAAAAAAGCTACAAATTTAAATTGAACAGCTACATCTATTTGTCATATATAAAAAGAAAAGCTCTCTCAATGTTGTTAGGTCTTCCGCCCTACAGTTTAAAAAACCCAGGATGATGCAACGATGTGTAATAGTAAACCGATCCAGAATTAAAAAAAAAAAAAAGCGGGGGTGGGGGGCAGGCAGATAAAAATTGACAAACACAGAATCTTACTGTTTCACATTTCCATTAACAGTTATCTCAATATCATGAATGGAAAGGAAACATTGCTAAAAATATGATCTCACGATCAGGACAAACATGTGGTCATAACAGAAAGATGAGAGTACAGTACTCTCATTCACTGCTAGCAGAAAGAGTCAAGTTACTTGATAATTTATCAGTACCTAGTTTCAAAAACTAGCTAGTGATCTTAAAGGAAAACCAAAAAAAATTAAGTTATCATATACTTAAACATGTATCACTTTTACGTGCATGACCAGAGGATGAAGCAAACAGCCCTCCTATATTCTTTTTACAACAATTTTGTAAAAGATTAATTCCAGTAACACAGGAGACTGAACAAGTTATTGTTTCACACACTTCATTCTGTGGCAACACAGAAATTAAACTCTGGAACAACACAAAACACCACAATCAGATACTCAGTGCTGAACAGTCTGGTTAACATGTATCACGTAATATACTCCTTACTTCTATTTCTGCAGACTCCACACGATTTTCAACAATCTCAATGCACTGTCTTTTCACTGGCGGTTCCTCGCTTATCACAGTTTCTTCAGCAATGTCTGTTGCTGGCACTGTTAATACTGAAAACATATTCGTACATAGAAATACATTTACTTCAAGCAATATTTGCACTACATAAAATTCATATAATTAAGTAATTTTATTAACAGCAATAAAATGCAGAGGCTTTCCCTTATGAAAACACACCTATATAATAAAGTGCTTTATAAAGTCAGTATGGGGAGAATTTACTAAAAATTTTAGCTGCTTGTACGCTACTAAAGAATTTTAAAGTTTTCTGTTACTGAGGTCTACAATACCTAGTTGTCACTCTGAAGTATTTGTTGCTGTTTTTCACAGAGTAAACAGGTTTGGAAGTGAAGTGCAGCAGTTACCAGTCTGTCAATTCTGTAACTTATGTGGCATCTTTATAATGTTTCTTAAGCAAATAATAAATACAAAACTGGCTTTTGATTTTGATTAATTAGAACACCTTAGGTAATGTAGTTATTAACCTTGAAGGAAAAAAGTAGGGATCTAAAGAAATTCATACTCTTAATCCACTTATGCAACCCTCTGGCAAATAAATGTCCTAACCGTCACGTCAGTTACCACCGACACACATTCATGCTTTCCGATAACTAGCCGTACTTGTTCAGACAGACTGTGAACCAAATTGATTTGTCTCCAGTGTACAACTCTTCAAGCTCCACAGTGGGAGTCCTCATGAAGAAACCAGAGGAGGAATCATTTTTGTCTAAATAGCAGTGGCAGAGCATCTTTAAAAAAAACCCACCCATGCATGTCACAAAATAGCACTTGTTACACTAGCAGCTTCCACAAAGTACGTATGGCCTAATAGGACAATTTGTGTCATCCTGGCTTCACTGGTTCTGCCACTGCTCCTCTAAAAACTCAAGCATGTAAAACGTGGTTTTTGTTCTGTTAAGAACACACTCCATGGGACTTGCACAGCTTGCTTCATGCATGAGATTTCTAAATCAAAGCCTCACCTCCCTGCAGTACTTCCAGCAAGGCAACAGCATAAGTATTGGAAGAAGGCTTTTGTTTTACTCCACCTTCTAGTTTTCATAACAACTTTGCAAGAATGAAACTTACTGAAGGCAAAGCAAGCAGCTCCCACTTTTCCCGTAAAAGTCCTGTTTCCCTTCCCCAGTTTAGTAATTCTTTCATTCTTTCTCACAATGCAGAGGCTCAGCTGACACATGGTAACTCGCCGCAGCTCATGCATCTGAGCCTTTCGCAATATAACAATTCAAAGACGTATTTAAATTGTCAATCTATTTGCACTTAATTTATTATTTTTATTATTACCATAACTAAAATAGGTCCTCAAGCTTGAACATACAAGTCTCCACTCACCTTGCTGTCCATCTGGCATGGTCACAATGATTGGTTGCCCTATTCCACTGGTCGGAATCGAATGCAGATTACCAAGCTGAATGCCGTCTGTAACTATAGTAATAACTTGCTGACCTCCCGAACTGACAACTTGCTGAATAGCACCATCCACAGATTCTGCAGTCACAACTTCTTCTGTGGCCACAACTATCAACAGAGTAGTAAAGGAATTAAGTCAATTTATAAATTAAGCTTTATGATTTCAAATGCATTTTAGTACAGCTGAGAAAAAATTTCTTCCATGTCTTTTAAAACTTGAACCCCACTCCCCAATTAACGCATTACGACATATTATATTATTAATAGAAATCTTTCACCAGGCCAAAATAAAGCAGTAACATTTTGAAACATACATGCAACTCTGTCCAGGTTTACCTTGCTCAATATAATTTTTTTTTTTTATTTAGCATGTTTCCTAATAGATACACCCCACTCAGAACTGACGCTTTGCGTTCAGTGTTAACATGGCAGCAAGAACAAGATTTGTTTTTAAGAATAAAAATAACTTCTGCATTGTACACAGCTGGATTCAGTGACACTGACAACAGAAAGAAAGAACAAAATTTGAAATACTAACTTGAAACTACTCCTCAATCAGTGCCTTGCCAGGTGTACATCAGGCCCCAGCTTTGATTTCTCTCCTTACCATAATGGTCTTCTAGATAGTAACAGACTGAAGGACCTCTAAAGAATCTTAAAAGTTTTGTGTGTACTACATGGGTACTTCAAACATAACCACAACTTTATTTATTATACAAAGTATGAAACAGACTAAAGAAAAAGATCTGCAGAATTAACATTGTTATACTTTTGAAGGACAAAAACAAAGCATAAAAAGCAAAATAAACATTTTATAGGTAAAAGTAAAAATAAAAAATCCCAGCTCAACTAAGTATTTCAAATTCATGATTCCATAATGAGTATATAGTGGTGAACTCTCACAGTTCTATATTACATCTATAAATCCAGGTAAGATAAGGGAAAGACTGCAGTCAGAACAACACGTACCCAGCTTGCACTATACACTGTAAGTGGGGTCTCGCAGTACCACCCCTTATTTTTTAAAGCAACGAGATACTGAGACAAAGAGCAAGATCACTAATAGCACAATCAAAGAATTTCAAGCACACCAACTGTATTTTATTTTCAATTTGTCAGGGTAAAAGCAAAGCCTTTGATTTAAACAACAGACATTAGAGTGCTTTCTATCTACAGAGATGAAATTAAAACCCTATAAACTGAGTTGTGATGCTCAAGATGAGAGAAGGTAGATAAACCCCCGAAGCTTTCATCTCTTAATTACAATATAACACAAACACACAGAGAAATCACTCTGTAGTTCAAATGACTGCAGTCATTGTCTTCTGAACATCTTTATGTTCAGAGATTACTGTCCTACAGCACTGCTTAAATATTCACAGAGTGTTTATTCAGTAAACCAAAACAGTAAGTCCTACATGAATAAGTGGTGCTGTATTGAACTTGATTTGGCTTCCAAGTACAGGCTCAGCAGTAACAAATCCCACTGTCAAAAATTCCAAGTTGCAAGTGCCAATACTAGCTGCTGTGGCAAACAGCTCTGATCTTTCAGTCTCAAACTCAATGTTGGGCTTTTACTTGTGGAAGTAACCATTACTAGTTCTTCAGACTTGAAAGAAACATGAGATTTTATCTAAAAAGCAGTTACTCTATATAAAAGAAAAATATCCCCATAAATACAGTCCTTACGTCTTTCTTGCCCTCCTTCCGTATCTATATCCATATAATCATTAGTTACCACACTACTTCATATGCTGCAGGAAAGCTGAAGTCAATTAAACCAGCAGCACTTATTTTCAAGAATCTCTGCATTAATGTGCATCATTTCCTTCTGCAGCGTGTGCAGGGTGAAGAACACCAGCACACGCAGTAAGACATATGCCTAATTCCAACATAAGCACACCAAATACTGCATTACAAATACACATCTTAAATCAGATTTTTCTCTAATCCAACTGAGTTCTGTACATACATTATGCACCGCATTTGCACATAATATCCATGTCCTCACATACATTCATTTGAGCAACAATTAAAAAAAAAAGCAGGATTCTAATAGCACCTTTCTTTCTTCAGTTTTACAGAACTGATGTGTTTTTAACCATAAGACACAAGGAACCAGGAGGAAGAGATCAGGGCAAAGTTAACTTCGAAAGAGGAGAAAAACCTAAACAGAAACAACATAAAAGGCAGAACCTAAGTGCTTTGTCCCAGTTTATACACTGGCAAATACAGGAGGCTAAATACAAGGTAAGAATTCTCAATGCTACAATTTTTGAGAGTATTTATAAATAGATCTTTTACAAGATGAGCACAAAGAGAAGGGGAGGGCTTGTTGGTTTTTTTTTTTTCCTTGAACACACTGACTACTGATGCATACAGGATAAAAAGCTGGTTTTGTATTCTTTACACTCTATAAACCATTAAAGGAGTAAGACAAGCCAGGAAATAATTTGCAGACAGTAAGATGCTGCAAGATTGCCCACACATCCGCATAAGAATCAAGGCTAGGTATGATGCACACTGGGCTACGGATGGTGGGAAGCTACTGCATCAAGACTTCAAGCTTATTCCCTCCTGCCTGTCATCTCCTGCCTCCTCTCTAATAGTTTTTATCTTCAGTGGTTTACTGGCATGTAACATAGGTTACACCGCACTACTGCAAGGGTAGGCCCAGGAAACATGAGAACACTTGGTTTGCTACCAAAGTCTGCTACTGAGTCCCGGATACTCATTTAATGCTCTGTAATCTCATGCAATCCTCTCTCGAGTTCTTGAGTTTCCCTCTCCTACAATTAGACCTGACTTTCATGGAAATTGATTGAAAACACCAGCAGCTGCTTCTGTAATGAAAGGAACTGCATTTTGGTTTTGAATCATCCACTTGCAATACTCAAATGTCACAAAATAGTATAGCTGTACCTAGGTACTGCTTGAGAAGCAGTAGAAGAGCAGAGTTGTATTAAGAAGAAATCCTGCAGGACTTCAAAATACTTAAGAGATGAAAACTCAAGTATATGTTGGGATGTAACTGTCATACCAGCAAGTCTGAGAGTACAGATCTCTTCTACATTTTCAGTGAAAACTGTGTCCTTAAAAATGGTGTCATCTGCAGAGCTGAAATCTGTAAGAATTTTTAAGTACCAAAGACTTCGGCCATGCAAAATATCTCAGCTCTGTAAGATTTATCATACTGGCCATCACCAACAAAAAAGCAAGATAAACACATTTCTTTAGAAACTGTTCACAAAAAGCCAGGTTACCACAGGCATCATATATCCTTTATCAATAAAGGGTTGGATCATTGCTCTCCAGTGACCTCCAGTCACCAGCTCTAAAATTAGGCCCATCACTAATCAGAGCTCAAAATCTCAGGCTAACTTGGAAATAAGACTATATGCTACATGTCAGTATAATAAATACTACAAATACTAAACAAACAAAAAAGGAATCTGGCCTACCATGAAACTCCAGTAGCTACAGACACACCATGAGACAAGTGGGGAGAAACACACACAAAGCATCACTGGGCAAGTAGAGTATGCATGAAATACTTCACAGCTTTCTTTAGAAAGCCAGGTCTCCACCAAAACACCTTTTGGGACTCTCAGAATAACAGATGTTTTTATTCAAGTACACTTCAGCCTACTCCACAGACAAAACCCAGGGATTTCTGTCACAAAGCTAGCTACAAAGAATTAACATAGCACTTGACTTCCTAAGTGCTAGTTTTACCCGATTTTTTTTATGCAATGGCATGATACTAACATAGACCATAATTGGAAAATATGGTCTAGAACAAAAGTTTAGTGGCATCCTTTTACAAACTAACCTTCAATAATCCAGAAGCTTTTGATCGCATTTTAACTTTACTGTAGACGGTATTACAACTTGCTTAAATTATAAAATAAGGTCTTTACCTTGCTTATAGCTCTCTTTCTCAAACCTGTCAGTGGTAATGACTAGTCTTTATAATCCACTTTGATCCTGTAAGACTCCTGACTGCCATCTTTCTTCACTTTGCATGTTGTAATGAATAAAAGTGAAAGAGTACACAAAGTAAGCAACACGTTATTCAGAAAGAATGAAGAAAGATATCCAGGGCAACTTGCAGAGTATGAAACCTTGACCAAAGGGGGTTTTTCAGACAAAGCAGTAACTGGCAAAGACCCATGGGGCAGGGGTGAAGGGGCTTTGTGTTAAGAAAGAGGAATGCAAAACTTAGGAACTAGGGGCAACGGAATTCTTTGTGCCTTTCTGGCCTCTTGTCATAGCCTTACAGAATAAGAGAGTGCTCATACGGCTGCAGTGAGGGACAGAGGCTGCTTCTTCCTAGGACGTACTGTTAGGCTTAGGGTCACCTGAAGTGCCATGACAGCATGCCAGCCTGAAGGGGAACACGCTAATCACTACCTGTTATTATAAATGCAAGTAGAATGCCTCAATGCTGAAAAGACAACCCCTAGAGATTCTAATGGGCAAACTGCACATTAAGATCACCATATATGCTTGTGCCTTTTGGGTGAAAGATTAAAAAAACTGCTGACAAAGTATATGCAAACAACACTGGGGACCATTTCCCAATATTTACCAGAAAGAAGCATTCAAAGAAAACATTCTACCGCCAAATGCAACTGAACTGTATGTAGACAAAGATGTAAATTCAATCTCCTCAATTATGCTTGCTTTCAGCAAGATGAATGCTACTCCCATTAGGCCCAGAAATATCAGCTGTGGTCAGAAATCTTATTAAGAAATAATTGTACACATGAATCTGGAAACCTTCCAGTTGAAAGTAAAGGAAAAATTTTGTTCATGCTGAAAAAAGGAAGGAAGACTGTCATCTCACTTCTGTATGAGCTGTATATCCAAAAGCGCCAGTTATGTACTTTTAGTTTATTAAATGAGATTAAATGACTTAGCATTCTAACCTGGTGTTTCTGAAGAATTAGACAGTGGAGCTGATGCTTCTGCTAAAGCTGCCAATGTGGCTAATACTGACGTCGATGAATTTCCAAACTGTACAGCAGATACTCCTGTTTCATCTAGTAGGATGAAAAAAAAACAGTTGATAAATTTAAAACCAGTGAAGTCCCTTTTTTTACTGTCATTATACTGAAGCTTCTAACACACACTGTTCTCAGCAACATTCTGCTGATTTTTTCTGAACCAAAGTGCTATTCTGAAGACAAGTCTGTTAAGCAAATGCAACTTCTGGTAATTTATTTCTGTGAAGACTGTTGTTTTAAGTACCTAGATATTTACAACACATAAAAAACACTGAAGAGGAACACGGTAACTATTCTTACCACTGCTTTTCCTCAAGCGTTTCCTCTTACTAAATGGTGAAAATCAATTAAAGTATAAAAATCCCAGTAGCTATCCTATAGACATCTAAATACCTGTTCCATTTGATGTATTTGCAGAAGATACCAGACCTGTTAGGTTCACCACCCCTCCAGGTCCAATGATGAACTGCGGTGTTGCTGCATGTATTGTCACAGTGTCTGGACTCTCTGGGTTCGTATTGATTTGGTTCTGCATTGCAATCTAGGAGACAAAGGTAATAATATCATTCCAACTGTAAGCATAAAGAAGTTATTTACCTTGTAAGAACTAGAACTACTGCACATTTCAGTCAAACAGGGAAGATCCCTCTGTTATAGTCATGCAATATACACACATCATGTCACATCTTGTGCTCCGTGTAAGTACATGAGAAACATTTTTTTGGCTGAAATCTAAAGACAAAAAGTCTGTTGAAGTGAAAGAGAATGACGACACACTGCTACTTCTTACCATTTATTGCAAACAAAGAGGACCATACAAAGACAAGGCCCTTTTGTAGACAGGCAAGCTCATGTATCTAAAACAGAGGCCTGAAGAAACAAGACTGCTGCGGCAGCTACATGCCATGAAAATTGGCTCCGACAGCTTAGTAATTGCCATGAATTGTAGATGGCAGTTGTCTTTTTCTCTTTCTTTGAATTTTATTGACTTTTATTTACTTTTATTTCCTTTCTGCAAGTAAGGGGAGACTAAAGGAACAGACCAGAAGTTCATATAGTTGAAGATGCAGAGGAACAACAGATCTATGCAGTGGCATAGTGGTATTTTTCATATTCTCTTTCTATTCTCTTCTCAATAATGCTTAGAACTTAATTGCCTTTAAGAACACTATTGAACAGGGAGCACACTATTATAATCCCAATCCAAATCACTTCAACAATTCAGTCCTGGCTTTTCTAATTCAGAAAAGACTGCCATCTCTTCTCTCCTCTCCTGATCTCAAATTGTTAGGAAATTAATATCCGTATATGAAGCTAACTGAAGACCGGGGTATGGTCAAAACATATCAGCAGAGCAAGGAGTTAAGTTTTACATCTTGCTTGTGAAGACTCCGCCCAGTTCGGTGTACTACAAAACTCAAATTTAAGAAAATAAAGGATACTTATCCTTGACTTTGTAGGTGGTGAAAGTGTTCTTTAGTTGGCCAACTATGTTCACTATGTTCTTTCATTTCCATGTCATAAACTACAGCGGAGTTCAGCATTACCAGTCAATATATGGTCTCACAGCTACTATATTGAAAGCTTAGTTTACCACATGTGTAAACAAGTTCTTTGCTCTAAGTTCCCTTAACATCATCAAAAGTTACCTGTAGTATTTCTGCAAGGTCTTCATTTCCATTGTCTACTGCAATATCTAATGCTGTTTTGCAAAATTTACTCTGAGCATGAACATCTGCTCCATACTTTATTAAGAGTTCTACAACTTCTTGGTGGTTATGTTCAGTAGCCCAGTGAAGTGCAGTCATTTTGAGCATATCCTTCGCATTGACATCAGCACCGTGCTACAAACAAGAGCATTGCATAAAACATGTCATTAGAAGTATCTGAATTAAAGAATGCTGGTCACAGAATGAAGTCCAAAATTGTCTTTCTCCACCAGTAATGTCCTGTTATCTCACATTTACAGATTTATTAAAAGTCCTTCAATGTAACTACCAAATAAATTATTTACCCCAAAGGATTAAAGACTCCATAAAACATAACGTGGCTTGGTTCTAACATTTTTATCAAATTAGGAAGTAGTCTTATTTTGAAAAAGTAATAAATCCTAAAATCATGAGGATTTTAATGCTAAAATAAATTACAGTTCAATAGGAAAACAAAGCACCCAATGCGCACAGTATAAATATTCATATAGTTATAATGTATGTTTCATGACTAAAAGGGAATTGCAAATATTTCATCATAAACCATTGTAATATCCCCATCTCAGACCTTGTTTCAGCAGTCCTTACCTTTAGTAAGACTTCTACTATGCTGGCATGGCCTTCTGATGCTGCCATATGTAAAGGAGTTCTGTCCACTTTGGTTCTGGCATCCCGACTTACACCTGCTCGCAGCAACACTTCTGTTGTTGAGTAGTGTCCATACTGTGCTGCGAGATGAAGCGGAGATGTTCCCAACTGCAATGTAAAGGAAAAAGTGGAGTTTTAACATATGTCAGTATTAAGTATTTCTTCCTACTCTGGAGCTACCAAGTGTCAGGCCACCACTTCAAAATCATTTTCCTTGCAGTCTCAAGGACAGAAGCTGTGAGGGCTTTTACAGAATATGAAGAACGGAGAAAAAAAAAAAAAAAAAAAAAGAGTTTAGGGTTCCCCCCCGATAATCACAACACACTAAAAACAGCTCACGGAAGCAACTTTTTGAGGTCTGTGCTGGCTTTTTCTGTCTTTTTGAGGTATATTTCAAGGGGCCTAACCCGATTTTTAGTGTTGGTCAACATGCCGTACCAACATTAGAAGGGACCTCTAGAAGTCACTTAAGTCCAATCTCCTGCTCAAAACAGTCAACTTGAAAGTTAGGTCACTAAGTAGATTAATGCTCTTATAGGCTTGTAAATACCCTAGAATCATAGGTATCTGACCTCCCTATATAACCTAGGCACAAATGGGCACCTCCAAACAATAACTGAGAGCCCCTGTACCAGGGAACTCTCAGCTGCATATATTAGGTAGTCGGGACTGCTTTCTTCATTCAGACCTCTTACTATACTAAATGCACAAACACAGTAACTAAGAGGATGATTGCTGCTTTCTCTCATTAACTATTCCAAAGTTCATCTTAACAGCCACCAAAACAAGCTCATTCAGAGTCTGCTACTAAAAGCAGTAGGAGGTCATAGGAAGAAACAGGCAATTTTAATTTTGAATTAAGACAGCAGATGATGTGACTGCAGAGTTTCATGAACAAAATCCCAAGGCTCGCAATATAAATGCTTAATTGTAATAATCCTATTTTCTTCCTCAGGTGAGAAAAGTAAGAGGATTTACCGAACATTGCAAAAGTTTTCATTACCCAATCTGTGGTAAAAGGTGCTCCATTTGCCATCAAAATGCGAACTTCGTCATCTTGACCTGCTCGTGCAGCTTCTAAAAGTTTCTTTCCCAAATCTACTAGTGACATCTAGTGAGGGATATAAAAGAAAAAATAATAAGATCAATACTATGTTAAGTAAATAAATGCCACTGTAATTTTTTTTAATTATTATTTCTGAACTACTCCGAAAAGTTCAAAAACTGGAGTTGGTATTTTATGAGAATATCTCATGAATATAAATATTCATGAGAACAAGCTTTATTGATTGCAATAGGCAGCTTAATTTTAGAATTACTTTTGTCAGCCAAACACAAGTGACACTGAGGTGAAGATTTCAGTATTACAATGCTATAACCATAGCACCTGCAAAGGTATATCAAAACAAAATTTAAACTGAACTAGATACATATTTCTTACAGCACAAAGTAGTTTAGAAGCTCTCACCTGATACTGCAACCTTCTGCAGCTTTGTTCAGCTCTCAATTGGTACTACATCATGGCTGCTACATCACATACTCAAAGGCACTACACTCACGCATCCAAAACGCCAACAGGTATTTAAGAGGTACCACTATGAAATGCATTTAGCTAGATAGGAAACACAACACCTTTCTGACATCTTGTCCATCACTATCACTTCATTTTGTTCACCCTAAAATATAATTGCTGTATTCCTAGCTACAAAACGACGCAACAACCATGTTATTGTACTACATGCATCAGATCTGAACTAAAATGTCTGCCTGAAAACAAACATTACCACCTGCTTCAACCGTCTACAGTTACTAAAAACATGTTAAGTGCAAAATTTTCTTTGAGACACGAGTGAGATACTAGCCAAAAAACTTTCACATCACCTTCAGACAAGCTCCCTTTTACAGCAAAGTTCCATATAACGCAGAGCATGCAAAACTATATGTAGACAAGTCTATGTTTCCGTTGCATCAAAGATTTCCTAGTATAACATTTTTAAACCCACTCTATCTCATAGTTGCTATTAAATTTGTTCAGTAAAAAGAAAATTTAGAACTAAACCATAACTCATGCTACTAACCAAAATACATCATTAATGTTTTAGTCCTATACCTATATTTTCCACTACCAGGATGCTAAGAATGGAATTATTTTCATCAGTCTTGTTTCCAGTCATATGGGTCTAAGCCCATATTACTAATAACAGCAGTTGCAAGGCCATGCAGCCAATTTCCTACACAAAATTGAGTATATCAGTTCAGAAAGAAGTCCCATTAAACACACATTTTTATCACAAAACCACCTTTAGAAAGTTCTCTGCACTTGGCTCAACTGGCAAAATCTGTGTGGTATATTGCTCAACAAGTTGAAAGCTATTGACTTTGTAAGAAATTAGAAAGGAAGACAGAAATACTGCAAATGCAGAACTCCAACATGTAGCAGTAGAGCCATGAACTGGAGCAGATTACCTCTTTGTCTACAGAACTGACTGCAGGCAGCAGTATCCCCTTCACCAAAATAATAACTCCATTTATGTCCATCCTTCTAGTACACATGGACATGTTGATTTGTCTCCAACCCAAAAAGGGAAGAGGAGCAGGAAGGTGGCAGGACAGGACAAATACTGACAATGGGAAAAGGAAGGAAAAAAGGAGCACAGAGTCAGATGCAGAGGAAGGGACAAGAGCTGACTCTCTTCCATAAAGAGAAAGACAGAAACAAGAATAAGATTAAATCTACTACCTCTGTTAAAGGGAGACACTAGTAGCAATGATATAAACCAGTAACAGGACAGAAATAAAGGACACTTGGCAAGTGCAGCAGTGAAATGAAGGAATATGTGCTTTGGGTTTTTTTTGGGGTGTCAATTTAGGAAGGAAAAAAGCACACACAGACACACACACTTTTTCTGGTCTAATACCACCACATCAAGGTCCTCAGAAGCAAAAGGAAAGCTGGAACTTAATCCAAAATACTAAAGTCAGGAACTAATTCAGAAAGACAGCGATCCGGTTTCCTTATTTTTGTTTTTAACACTAGTAGAGAAAAGGCACTAATAAAGTCTCCTTTTGGAACTACAGAATAACGGAGGCTGGAGGGGACCTCTCAAGGTCACCTAGCTCAGTCTCCCAGTCAGAGCTGGCCTGATAGGTACAGGCTGCGCAGGGCTCGGTCCTGTTGAGTTTTGAATGTCTCTGTGGATGAGCATCCTGCCACTTCTTCAGCCTCATTCCAGTGTCTGACCACCCTCACGGTAAGAGCTGCCTTCTGTGGATACCCGTCTTCCTCCACTAACCAAAAAGACAGCCTTGATAATAAGCTTATAGTTGATGTCTGTTAGACAACAAAAATAGGTGAATTAAATTACAGTCTGTACATTTAACACCTGCACCTATTCAGAACCCACCGATCACATCTATACTGGTGAAATAAACTGCAAAGTTGCTACCAAAACCCTATGCAGCAAAAAAAAAACCAAAAAATAAACATTTATGGTGACCTGCATAAAACAAGGCTCACTCCCAGGACATGTTAAGAACAAACTTCAGCCTGAGATCAACACCTTTTCATGGTCTCTGAACCACTACTGGCAAACACACTGTCAGAGCGACAGTACATCAGTTCTCATCTCCATGCAAAATTAAACAGCTTTGTACCACACTCAGTAAGAAATGTTCTAATCAAGGAAAAAGAGGGACGTGGAAGACCATACATGAAGTAACCTTTGTTCCCACGTATTACATTACCCAGCACTCTCTTGGTTGATATAAAGCGTCTGTACTTTAAACAAGCACAAAGCATCACAGAAGTTTGCTTCATGATGTAGAATTTTAACTTCAGTTATAACGATATCAATTTTAGAAATTAAGTAAAAGTTTCAGTTCTCATAGGGTACTTGAAGGCGTACTTGGGCCATCTAGTGGAAGAAAGTTAAAAACCTAGCAGAACTACACAAGCTCAAAAATAAAAATCACTTACAAGGCACTAATGCACTAAAAGCAGCAGCTCAAGAAGCCTTTCCCACAAAACTCATACATATTTAGTACTTTGAACCAAGGAATACTAGTATTCACAAAATTTCTCAAGAGTAGTTAACTCAAAGTGGATTTCTGGAATGGCAGACCATTCCAAAGACCAGTATTCTAAGGTCAGGAAACCCTTGAGTAATATCATGCCTCATGCTTCCCCCCATACTCTTCCACTGCTACTACTGGGACATACCAACAAAAGTCTGCACCATCAGAATTTCCCTTTCCAGAAAAGTTCTTCAGCTGCTCACTTGAGATCATTTAGTAACACTACAATAGCACAGTGATAGTATCAAAAGCGAAGTTCTACAACATATATTTAAAATTGAAATGAGATTTCCATTTCAAAGCAGCACTCTTAGCTAACTACTACTGCTACTCCACGTAGCGTTACAAATCGACTCCACTGAACTGTGTTCAAGGGTACTCTTCAGTAACTGTGTCACTTCCATCTAGCCTGGCCGGCACAACAGCGGAGTAACGCTTTATAAGAGGATTCTTTCAGACAATAAAAACATCACTGGCTCTGAAATAAAATCTTGAGACTATTACAGTTATTCTTATGACAATCTGAGTATGTTTTCAGACTTCTAACAGCTCCTACACAACTGTGTGAACAGACGGTTTTGTCCACAATTGAGTAAATAGGGAAGAGCTTCTGCTGGGTTTGGACTTTGCATTAACCGCCTCCTGAACTTCCACATTTCATTACTGCAATGCATTCTGTACAGTATCATTAGCCAGATGCCACAATTAACTGGTAAATTAAAGCTTACATCAAATTATTATTGCTATTTTACTTCTGTTCAATAGGAAATCTTACTGCTTTTCTGTATCCATCTTAGATTTAAGTTCTCATACATTCTATAGAACTCTTGAACATCATGCTGTTACCAGAGGGGTATAGAACAGCACCTGACTGGAGTTTAGGTGGAACTGTGTGCGAAATAGGCTCTGTGGGGAGGCAGAGGAGCTGAAAAATATGCAGCTTGGGAAGCCTGGAGTACCACACCGCAGCCTACAGATAACAGAGCGTCAGAGTCCACAGTCCAAAGGAAGAAGATTTAAGTTTGGCTTAAAATATCGCAGCACCTTTCAGACTGGTGGCCTGCCCCAAGGATCCTGGACCCAGTGTTATTGTCCTTCTACTGCTGCAGTGGTGAACATCAGCTGGTCAAAAATCAAGAGGCACAAAACAGTTGTTGCAGAACATCTGCTAACACGGAGATCTCACAGCCACCAGCATACTTCTTCCAAGGCACGCTCCTAAGAGAGCCATACTTGCACTAGAAGAGCATGGACTGCAGCAGCACAATTCACCAGAACATAAACTGAATCAATATACACCATATCTATGGTAAGGATTTGCAATCATTCCTAAAAACCCCAGGACAAAGTTCCACAAAATGCTAATTAAACAGGTTTCCCTACTGAAGTGACACACAGCACTTGGAAGACAGCTTGGGACTCATCGTCTCTCATGCCACCGACATCTGGAAGAATGCCCTTTTCAGAATGTCGTTTTCTTTCCACTGTTTCAACCTGCTTCCCCAGACTTGATCTTCAGAAATGCTGTCATCCTACTGAGTTAAATATTGCACAGTATTGCTATAAATTTAGAATAGCAATTTCTAATTCATTTTATGTGCCTATCCATACCGAGGTCAAAAGTATTTTGAAGCACAAATAGATACCAGTAACTATACAAATCTTTAACCAAGCACTCTGTTTTGATCATTATCAGAAATGAAATAATAGGATCAACTTGCTTTTTTTTTTTTAATATCCTGATAGCGCAAAACTTGAACTCACAACAACTCTTCAAAAAGCTTTTTATTTCAATTAAGAGTTTTGTAACTTTTAAAGGATCCAGAAGGTCTGCATTAAACCTAGGTGTATTTCCATCTCTTAAAAACTGTGGTATGCTTTTACCGTATATATAATTTAATAGTGATTATAGCAACTGACATGGGATAAACTCAAAATATTCCTGTAATGTTTCCTAAGGGAATCATACCCTTCCAAATGTATTTTGGCAGTGATTTCACATATCACACTTCAAATCTTAATACAAATATCATAGGCTTAGAGTACCTACAC